ACCGACTTTCTGCGATTGTTATCCATGATTTACTAAAATATTTGCAAAAAATAGTTACCTGGACTGCAGAATAGAATATTTAAGCTGTGAAATCGTTAATAACCTTTGTAAACATTTCAAACTCGACAAATCCTTACCATTATTTAGGCTAAATTTTCCCGCGAAAATTCCATTTCTAACATCACGCTGCATGGAAAAACAAAGTGGATCCTCAGTTCGCTGGTCTCTTTTGCTGTTTAGTAGAACAAACTGCAAGTTATTAGTGAGCGAGGCTTTTCCCTGAACTTTAATTTTGGGACTTCGGCAAACCCCTTGTTTACATCGATTTTCTCGTTTTTGGAAGGTGTGGCGTGTTACAGATTCAACAATCAGACGACAGGACTTCGAAATGTCCATCTTACTTGAAGGTTTTTCCTTGGTTTTGAAAATATTAGCTGTTCTTTCAGGTCAGAAAAATCACCTAGCATTGCTGGTGGCGGGGCAGTTTTTCTTCAATTATTAGCGTGCAAACAAGATAGTCGAGGAAAGACATCAGAGGTGGTGTCTATTTTGCTCAGCCGATTGTTTACACAACAACGCAGATTTTGTAGGCCGCTTTCCGGCCTACAAAAGGATCATAAAAGACAGATGACTGGAATGTGAAAAAAAAAACTGAATAAACTTCTCAATACGTGTAGTCGTTGCAAGGTCAAGATTGCCAACGGATATCTTTCTTACGTTCATTGTTGTCGTTTGTATTGTTGCAGGTTGGTACACTGTCTTGTTTTCCGTTTCATTTCCTTTGATATTACCTCGTGCACACAATTGACTTAGGACAACTTGCTATAGAGCTGATTCAAAGGTCTCTTAAGATGTCTCGAAAACTCACACCCGGAAAAATCTGCTGAATTTAGCTGAATTATTCGAAGAATAAGGATCCGTAGTGTGTAGATATATATACTTGGTGTATACTTATAATGCAACCGAAAAACCATACGAATCCTGGGTATTATTTTCATGATCCGGGAGAGGAATGTACCACCGCAGGCTAATTTTTTTTCCTCTCTCTGCAGATTCTGCCTGTGACATTGTATCGACGAACTGTAAACAAGGCGTCTTTAAGTAATCCGCGGTAAGCGCAATGTGAAAAAAAGGTTTTTTTTTCGGGTCTGAGTTTTCGAGACATGCAGAGAATCTGACTTTTTCGGGTCTGAGTTTTTGTTTTTGACCGTCTCAGTTTATGGGTCTGAGGTCTGAGTTTTCAATCTCGCAAGTTGCCCAAAAAAAATCCAAAGAAAAGCAAATGATGAAAACCAAACACTAAGCTGACTTACATGTAAATGGCAAAAATAAAAACAACTTTATTTAATGAATCGTTAGAAAACTAAATGAAATTGAAATGTCGTCTAGGACAGTAGATTTTTCTTCCACCCCCTTGCAAACAACAGGGTGTGGGTGGTAGCGAGATTGGGGGGGAGGGTGTCCTTTCTCTGTTGCCACTATGTAATGGTACTTCGTTCCACCTCTGCATCCTCCTTGAATGGGGCAGGAAGGATAAAAACATTACCCTCTGGACAAATATCGTTTCTGTTTTAACAATCCATTCAGCCATTATTCTGTTTATTTTTGACATTCAGATCAGTTGAACCATCTTGTTTTTGTAGATATTCTTGAGCTACCGTTCCATTTACCTTAACACAGATACAACTGCATTTTGGCAGGGTTAATGAAAATGAATTTGCCTCCGCAAGATTTTTTTTTTCATGAACCATGTTAAAACTATCTCAATTAATCTTCAGAGCAACTTAGTTGCGTGCAAAATGTAATTCAATTTATGTTCTCATGGATCACAAACATATTGCGATCTTGTTCTTTATGAACTCTGACAACAGCAGCAATAAAACTATCAAGAAATTATCAATAAAAATTTGGATGTAATTTCATTGCATTAAAAGGGGTTTTGTGGTCAATATTAACAGAAGCAACATTATATTACTTTTGTTGAAAGTAAAAGTTCCAGAGCGGAAAACAAGATGCTGTACTAACCTGCGATGATACAAACGGCAACATTAAACGCAAGAAAGGTTTCTGCCGGCAATACTGGCCTAGCAATGATCACACGTATTGAGATGTTTATCCCAGTCGTTTGTCGTTTTTGATCCTTTGGTGAGCCTGAGAGCAGGGAGCTGTATTTCCTCATTGTTTACATTAGGTTGCAGCAAATAGAAACCACCTCTAACGTCTTTGCTCGACTATCTCGTTTGTACGCTAATAATTGAAGAAAAACTGCCCCGCCACCAGCAGTGCTACGCGATTTTTTTGATCCGAAAGAACAGCTAATGTTTTCAAAACCGAGGAAAAACCTTTAGGCGAGATCAACATCTTAAAGTCCTTTCATCTGACGTTTGAATCTGTAACGTGTCACGTCTTCCGAAAACGAGAAAATCGATATAAAAAGGGGTTTGCCGAAGTCCCAAAATTAAACTGATTCAGGGAAAAGCTTTGCTCACTATTAACTTACAGTTTGTTCTACTAAACAGCAAAAGAGACCAGCGAACTGAAGATCCACTTTGTTTTTCCATGCAGCGTGACGTTAAAAATAGAATTTTCGTGGGAAAATTTAGCCTAAATAATGGTAAGGATTTGGCAAGTTTGAAATGTTTCCATAGGTCAATAACGATGTCACAGCTTAAATATTCTATTCTGCAGTCCAGCTAACTATTTTTTGCAAATATTTTAGTAAATCATGGATAACAATCGCAGAAAGTCGGTATAAGGTGATATTCTTCCCTAAAAATTTGGCGGGAAATATTTCTGGCCAATGACTTTTTTTGGACTTTGCGAGACCAATTACCCCGATTTGCCTGTGGATACCAATTTTAACTAAACTGGATATTGATAACAATGCAAAAGACTATCACAAAAATGTCTTTCTGTGGAAATAGACTGCCGCACTTTTGAAAAACGACTCGCTGAAAATGGCTAAAATTTGGGCCACACTCATTAACGATTCGGCGGCGATATTTGGCACCTCTTGAAAACTGTAGAATTAATGCGAAAGACCTCTAATATTTCTCAATCAACTAATAAGGGGACAAATATTATGTCACGAAAATAAGAGTTTCTGGAAGTTGTAGGAAGTATCTTTTAGGCTCACCTAAAGTTGCCCGAAATTTCGGCCATTTTAGACTGCTTGAGAGGCCAAAATCTTGATGTGGTGATATCTCGAAGAAAAATGAACGCCTACCTCGGCAAATGTCATGGTTGTTAATCTTTTCGGATAGCTTTTACACTGTGAAAAGATGAATGTAAACGGCCGACCTTGATCTTTTGGTACTGCCTGGTTTTCTCTGACAATGACACTTAATAGAACAGTAAACAATTATTGGCTGCGAGCAAGAAACTGGCAGATCATCTCGATAAGCTCTTGTTTTCTTTTACCCCTGCCCACTGACAGTCCAAGTTCGACTTCATGCAGCTGAGGAACTTTCATTGACTTGAGCTCTCTCTCGTATTGTATTGGTGGCATCTGTGTTGATGTTTGTTGGTCATCATCTTGTTCTGTGCTCTCTGTTAGTCGAGGAAATTTCCTCGCACTCTCCTGCTTTCTTCCCTCATGCCAGAATCTGGTGTCCCTCTTTGTGTCCTTTCCCATGGCTCCAATTCCTCCTCCCTTTTTCAACCATCAACAGTGATTTGCAGGTATCCCACCTGTTAATTCTTCGGTGGAGGTATCTCCAAAAATCATCATTCTTTTTTTCTACACCTGATGTTAGGGACAACCAATTATTACGAATGTGATGAAATAATCATGACTAGCTTACGATATATATGGTACTGATGTGAAGCTGAATTGTTTCACCCTGGTCAACAGCCAGTTACTTGAGGCTAGCTAGAAGTAATAATAATTATTATCAAACTTTCTTTTTCTGTTTGGTTCATTTCTTAATACTTACTGCTTTCACCCATAGAGACTTGAATCTTACTTAAAAACCAAATCATGTTGATAAGCTGCCCTTCTTGCTGTGGTAAATCTTACCTTGGCCAGTGAATATTTTCATAGTCTCATACTTCTGAAGCATCACAGGTACATGACAGATCATCAGATGGATGTACGGTGTGATTGGACATGTGTGGGCGTAACCATCCCCTGTCATGTTCAAAAGCTGCTTTCCCCACTCAACAGTCTGTTTAAAAATATTTGAAGATCTATCAGTCCGTGGTGCAAACAGTACTGCATTGTTTTTGTGGGATAGCAATGCTTATCTAATATACATAACACATTAATTTTATTCATCAGTTCTGGTATGGAATCTGGATTTTCTTTACCAACTGGATGTGTTATTCCATATTTGAATAGTAACTTTTCACCTTATGAACACATTATATTGTAAGTGATGAGTTTACCTTGGAATAAAATGAGAGGACTTGATCTTCCCCTGGTGTCCAGTCACTAATGACATTGTACAACTGCCAGAAGTCCTGTATTGGAAAAAATTTAAATCATTATCTCAGGCTAAATGAATTCTTGTCTCATCATAGCCCTGTTTTCCAAGTTACGTGTCTACCATGAGCCAATTTTCAGTCTCAATATCATCATTAGCATCAAACACGGCTGCTAAAAATTCACATGCTTTGCCTCACCAATGTTGTGTACTTGTCAGCAATTTGTCCCGCAGCACACAGTGGGTTAAAGAAATTTAGATAAGCATAGAGTCATTCCAGTTAAACACACCTCCCAGAGCTTTTTGGTTTTTTCTACTGTTTCTGGGTGTAAAATTTCATGAAACTTTGCAGGCAAGTCCTTCAGAAGTTTTTTCTGTCCTTTTTGGTCCATATCTGGAAAGATATTCCCATTGACCTGACAACTTTGATGAGGTTGTCTGTGTGTGTGGTTTTGTGGGCTGATTTTGGTTTACCCACGTTCTCTTCCCGCCAAAGAGAATGAAAATAATGAGATTGACCCAACCGACTGACTATCAATTATAATCAGAAAAATCTTTATACATGTACCAGTGCATAAACATGTCTAAATACCTCATATCATCCAATTACTTCAAGGATGATGTCATGCTCCAATCTATCTGTTATGCGAAGCAGCAAGTGTAGCTCATCAATGAGAACATTTTCAAGGGGAACACTGAATAATGGTTGACCCTTGCAACCAGGATCTGAAGCCCAAGTGTTGTCTATCCTTCTCTTCATTTGTACTGTTTGAAAGTAGTTCAGTGGTTTTGAGAGATCTGACCTGTTCAACAGATTTTTTTTTTTTTAAAAA